GTTCTCGGCATCTTCAGGTTCCAGATGAGGTCAAGGGGTAACAGCATGACTGGGGCTTTGTTAGTAGCCGGAATGTTCGCTGGCAGGTATCAATACTGACTCATGAGATCAGTGACGATGTCAACCGCATAAGCGTACCAAAGGCTGATACTTGCAGCCTTGACGTCGCGAGGGGTTGAGCAAGCACCAGCGGTGAACCAGGCTTTCATGCTCGAACAAGACAGCATCGACGAGGTGATGGCACCCGCCAGAACCTAGCCAAGTCAGCCTGATCACACCGTATGATGGGGGAGAGAGGGGGTTCTGGGACAACGAACCACCACGCAAAAGATCACCACAGCCCACCACAATCTGATTTTGTGTGGCAAGGCTTTCATCAACTTTTTGTAGACAGCCATCAGGGAAAACTTGACACTCCACAGACAGAGCCACAAGCCCGAGGTCGTAACGAAGAAGATCTTCTGGATGAAGAGCCCATCATCGGCGACCGTGGGGTACAGTGGGATCTGCCCATCGGCAAGTTTGGTGAGCCGAAACATGGTCGGCGCGGCCACGATGTACAGGATGGACAGGGCCAAAAAGAAGATATAGGCGGCTAACAGCCAGCCATCGTCCCAACCAAACCTGCGCTGCTGTTCGGCCGACACAAAAATGCGGAAGCCGGCGACGAAGGTGGTCAGGATGATCATGGTGATGCCCGTCGCCCTCACCGAGACCTCGGTCACATAGTTGCCACCCATTTCGAAATGTCGAGGTTGAACAGCGTCGGCCCAGGACCTGGAAAGACGAGGAGTCTGATGATGGCGCCCGATGGAATTCCCTCTTCTTGTACCCGGAATTCTCTGTTCTCGTATCCCATCCTTTTGAGTTTTGGCCAGGAATATAGGTTGGCACGTTGAATGAAAAGGGAGGCGAGGTTCAAACAGACTAATCGAGGCCAGTCAAGTCTAAAGCACGAGAGGAATGGGACTCTAGGCTCAGCGAGGCTCGCAGGCGAACCCGATGTTTTCCTTACCAAGCTTTGCGATACCAGGTCTCGATCTACAGATAGCGTGCATTGCAACCCTGTGCTCGATGGACCACTCCCTTGGGCGAGGGTAATCGTGGACGGGAGGCGTGAAGAAAGTCGACAGGCAGCTAAGAACTGAGACCAGTTCGAGTCCAAACCCGCCTGGAACATGTTGCAACCAATCTAGGTATGGAAGATGAAGCCTAGTGGGCTTTGCAAGTGTGTGTTTAGCGTGGCTAATGCACGGTCTAGGTATAAAGTAGGTATAGCCTGGTATAGGGACGTGGAAGTAAGTCAATTTCCTAACAGGGTTACCATGGGACGGGAAGTTCCAGGCAAATTCGTGGTGCGAGGATTCGGTACAAGTACAGTACTTGCAGGTAGGAATGGCTAAGAACTGGCCCATGCAAGAAACGGCCCCAAGGAATGATTGATATCTTTGTTGGTCAATCCGTTGTGCCTTTTCTACAAGGGGAGAAGTGAGTGAAGTTGGTCGGATCACTTGATCTACTTGGCACGAAACTGCGTTTCCATTTTTTTCGATTTTTTTCTCCTTACTCTTCTCTTCGATGACTGAACGCGCCCACAAGAACATATCTACTCAGTACAAGTACAATAGCACTCGAATAGTAAGGACAGGCAATACATATGCCCGTCCTTCTCTCTCTCCATCTTCTTTCTCATCCTCCTCCTCTAGCCCTAGCCCCGAAGCCGGACGTTGGTACTATCCGTGCCCCCACTCCTCCTAGGAGTAATCCCCAACTTACCCATTATTCGGATGCACGGACCGTTTACTAGGCCTTGAAGCCACTCCGTTTTCGAGTAGCGAGGCAGCCCGTCGCTTCGAGGCTCACCCTCCATCCCCACCATTTTCCCCCTGTGCCTTACATATTCTGGGTAAAACAAGGCCGTTGAGACACTTTTGATGGGTCTTGGGGCGCGCCGATCCCTTCAGACCCGTGTTGACCCCGGTTGACCCGCAACAATGGCGCCATGATGGTGGCACCAGTGGCTCCTAAGGACTGCCTAAGGTAGGTACTGTTGCTTCACGTGGGAAAGACTGCTCACACTATCGAAGACTTTCAGACTAGGTACCTCGTACTTGTGCAAGTTCCCCCAAAGTAACCCGGTGGCTGCGACCTGCTCTCCTCCTGAGTTCCTTGTCCTTCTTGTCTGGCCGTCCCAGTCTACGTGTACCTACCTAGGTCGAGACAATGTACCCCAGTAATTTCCAGACTTTTCGGAAATTGTCCCTTTTTCTTCCTTGACAAGCAGACCAGCCGCTGCAAAGACGTGTCCTAGCGCTCCAACACACAGACCAAGTGCACTCGTGGTCGACCGATCCCATCGGCTGCCCTCGCCACGCCGATCGTGGCACATGGGAAAGACGTCTTGAACCAGGACCCAATCTATCTATGAGGATCAGTCTGTGATAGCGGCAAGCCGAAATGCCGAAGTCTGAGGGTAACATGCTCTATCGTGTACCATTTGGTACCTTTTGGTGCCCTTTATCTGTGCAGAAATGTTGACGCTAGGGTAAACTGCGAGATTGATCCTTGGAGAGCCAAGAAAACCGAATTGCTTTAGAAGACTTCTACATCCTTCTTTAACGTCTGTCACTTCCCTGTTCCTCTGTTTTTTCTCCAATCCGGTCGGATCTTCAAGTATCTTTCCTTGTTTGGCAATGCGTTACTCGTCTGGCTGCCTTTTGGCAGCCCTCGCTGCGTCTGTCTATGCACAGTCTAACTCAAGCGATGTCGTTGAACCTGCGACTCTTACGGTGCCTGACAGTGCACCCTTGAATTCGACCGATGGCATTGAGCCCGTCGATTTCAACGTTACCCAGGCCTTGGTGGATATGGGAGTCGACGTCTCGGCACTCCCAGTGGCCCAACTTGCCGAACGCTCGTCTAATGCTGCATGTTCGCTTGCGGTGAGTGGCTGAAGAGGTGTACCCTCCATTATCGAACACGAGCTAATGTGTTTCATCCAGTGCGCCTCTTTGCAGCTTCTCTATGGCCCTCAAAACATCGAGTACAGTAACGAGGCGGGCTATGACGCTTTCACTTCTGGCTACTGGTCGCAGATCCAAGAGAATGTGAACCCGTACTGCATTTTCAAGGCACCCAACAAAGGTGCCGTGTCAGTGGTGATTCTGCTCTCTCGCTTGACCACCTGTCCTTTTGCAGTCAAGAGCGGTGGCCATGCAGCATTCCAAGGTGCTTCCAACATCGAAGGCGGCATCACCGTCTCTCTCGCCGCGCTCAACACCATCACCGTCTCCAAGGATAAGAAGACTGTCGCCGTCGGACCGGGCAATACCTGGAATTCAGTCTATACTGCCCTCGCGCCCTCCAACTTGGCAGTGATTGGTGGGCGTGTCGCTCCAATCGGAGTGGGTGGTCTCACCACTGGAGGTGGCATCTCCTTCTTTTCCTCTCTCTACGGTTGGGCCTGCGACAACGTTGCCTCGTACGACGTCATCCTGGCCTCAGGGTTTGAGGTTACGGCTTCACCGTCACAGAACTCCGACCTCTACTGGGCTCTTCGCGGCGGTGGCAACAACTTTGGTATCGTCGTCAACTTCAACTATGAAGCCATCAGCCTGCCTGGGGCACAGCTGTGGGGCGGCACCCGTGTCTACCTTGAGGACCAATTCACCAATCTGGCTAGTGCTTTCGCCGGCGTCGTGAGTGATTCCCCCAACGACGGCAATGCTGGCCAATGGGTTGCCTGGCTGGCGAACAACGGGACCAAGATTGCCTCTGCCGAGCTCTACTACGCCAAACCCAACGGCCAAACCGCCGCCATCTGGAACAACTACAATGCCCTCACAGCCATCTCGGACTCGACGCAAAACCGACAGCTGCCCGCCTACACGGTCGAGCTGGCGTCTTCGAACCCTTATGGCTTGCGGGAGACCTACTATGGCTTGACCGTCAAGGCTGACCCGTCGATTGCTGCGCAAGCAAAGGATATCTTCTACCAACTCCTCCCCACGATGGCCAACGTGGCGGGCGCCAACCCGGTCCTGATCTACCAGGGTATCACGCTGCCGATGATTGAGAAGATGTCCAAGAATGGCGGCAACCCGTTGGGCATCTCCGTGTCGGACGGCCCGCTGTACCTGATCCATGTGGCATGCTGGTGGGACAACGCTTCGGACGACACGGCCGTCTACACTTTCATCACCAAGGTGTTGAACCAGATAAAGGCTGCGGCGACCCAAAAGGGCAAGCAGAACGACTACATCTACATGAACTACGGCGGCGTGTACGAAGATGTGATCAAGAGCTACGGCGCCGCCAACAAGGCCAAGCTCAAGAACATCGCCAACAAATACGATCCGACGAAGGTCTTCCAGGTCCTGCAGCCGGGCTACTTCAAGCTGGACCGCGCCCCGGTTGTCGACTCGAGGTTCTTCTCGGGATAGGCGAGGGACAACAGATGTTTGTTGTGCGAACAGCACTAGGAAAGACCGACAGGAGGAGTGAGAAGGTTGCAGGTTGGTGGACAGAGCTGACTGACCTTCATAGAGATTTGCATGCTGGCGTTTAGACTCTTTTGAATTTTTGTACATGTACCAAACCATGCTGGCGGTGCACGGGGCCGAGGACGTGCCCAGAAGCCCCCTCCCTTGCATTTTGAAGAGCTGAGCGAATTGGAAACATCTAGCTAGACTGTAATGATATGAAGCGTACGTACGAGTAATATATAATTTCTCAACCGGTGCCTTTGATTTGATAATCTGTGGAGAGGTGTGAGGATCCCTGAAACCTGGATCGTGAGAGACGTGTCTCGTGTTTAAATAAGTGCGCCATCCTCGAAACAGGTCGTTCTGGGTATTTCTTCGTGTCATGGTTGTTGTTGTTGTTGTTGTTTTTTTTTTGTTTTTGCACATGTACTTGTACAACAATGTACCTACCTAGGCAGCACCGAGAACAACTCTTGAGTCTGTGAGTCTTGAATCTTGCCGCCAAACTCCGCCCTCCTAAACTCGACACACCCGTCCTGGCACCCCCGTGAGCTTGAAATCCCGCGTGCTCCGAGCGGGGAGCCGACTACCCCGGACATTGACCTGGAGGGCTTGAGCGAGCAGTTTTGGTGCGGCGAGACCAGCATCTCTCTCCGAGCGCCACGGGACAAAGTCATCCATGCGGGTGGTCTGGTTGGCGTGCTTGTTCTCCCGGACCTGGACTGCCACGGTTGTGAAGGGCACGCCCTTGATCTCCGCGTTCTGTCCGCCGACCACCTGCATGGGCATGGGTAAGGGTCATCTCGACGACTGTCCGGCGGATAGTCGTGGCCCGTGTACAGCCTAAAGTGTCCGGGGAGAGATAAGAGCTTCTGCCCCGAGTGGTAGAGATGCACGGCAGACCCGCGGGGGAAGTCGCAGGGCGCGGAGCCGACGTCCGGGTTGAAGATCGAATCGCCCGTAAAGACGTTGGAGCCGACCACGTAGCCCAGGTGATCGGGCGTGCGGCCCGGGAGGGCGATCGCGCGAGCCTGAATGGACCCGATGGTGAAGCTCTCGTCGTCGGCGAACGTGTGATCGAACGCGTCGACCAGATCCGCTGGCGGCACGCCGTAGAGCGCCGACATGGTCTCCTGGGCCTGAAGTATGCGCTGGCCGATGCACACCTCGGGCCGGGGTCGTGGTTGACTTTGCTGTCTTTGCTCGAGGACGTTCTGGAGGTAGCAAGACGCGGTGAGGTGGTCGGCGTGGCCGTGCGTCTCGAGGACCGTGGACACGGTGTATTTGTGCTTGGCCACCACGTCGAGCATCTGGTCGGCCGACTGCGTCGACACTTTTCCCGTGTCTTTATCATAGTCGAACACTCGGTCGATGACGACGGTGTCCTTTGCCTGTTCGTCCGCGACGATGTATTGCCATCTCAGTCTCCTCGACGTACAGGGTACTTCCAGACACAACTCACCAAGGACTTAAAAACGACATATATCCAGTCTAGGCCTGCGTGGGTCTGTGTGTGGAGGATCCGGCTGTAAACGCCGAAGCATCATCGCCAGGCTACACGCCCAGGCACACACGAGGCTGAGTTCGGACTTCGTTACAGGCTCAAGTCCCCGTGGCTGAAACAACCAGGAACTGGCTACAACGAACAGACCGCGCTGAATGCATCAGCGTCGGGGTCTATTATATCGTCAGTTGAGACTCTATTAGGATAAGGACTAGCGCGTCGCTCGTGCGCCCTGAGGTGGATTTCCGTGTGTTCGTGAATCGGGGAATAACATCTCGGCTTTAGATCTCAAGTCTGCGCCTCAGGATATTGGGCCGAATATCTCCCCACAGAAGCAGAACAAAGGAGATAGAAAACACACAACAACATGAGCACGGTTTTCAGTTCTTGTTCATTAGTTGATGCAGGCATAGGACGCCAGTTCCTCGGATTTATTGTCAAAATCCCTCCCTCTTCGTCCCCGAATTTGATTCTTCCTGATGGACATACAGGACAGCAGGGACAGAAGGAGAGGTTTTCTATGGTGGTTTTACCCATGTTCCTGTCCATCCCATGGACATCATTGCCATAAGTTTTGCCCATAATCGTGTTTTCCACTGTTTCTTCTGGTCCCCGAGCTCGTCCTCATGTACCATATTGATTGGCTCGGTAGGTGCGCGAGTCTCCTCGGGGAATCGTGCAGGGTTGTCACTGCTTGTCTCTTGCCTCCAACCTTCTTGCTCATTCATCATTGTTCCTCAGGCATGGTATTCCCTCCTTTGCAGTTATTTTGCCAATCCTTCTCGCAAATTTTGACGTAGGTCTGAGCCCATTGCACAGCCTGAGGCTGGTTCAAATTGACTCTCGCTTCGGACATTATGTGTAGAGCACGTGGCTGCTGTCCTGTCAGTAGGTTTGCCTTGGTCTGATCTGGTGGACTCCAGGCCGACGTGTGGTCTTGTCGTTTGACTTTTGGATTGGCATGGAAGAAGGAAAGGTCTCTCTTCCACAGCATGATGCACTCACCAACCCTCTCACCTAACCCATCATCCCCAAAGCTTCCTCGATTTCGTCTACTTCCGCCTCTTTTCCACGATGACTGTCCGCCTCCTGTCGTCCCCACCACTGCTGGGCTTTCCTTTCGTCGCAGTCGCTGCCGGTGCACCTCTCTTTTCTGCCTCTTTGCGCATCCTGGCACGGCGCTCGCGCTCATCCTCGCTTGACTCTTCGGAACTCTCCGTCGATTCGCATTCGGAGGAGCTCGAGCTCCACGCACCACACCGCTTACCACCGCAGTCGAGTTTGACCCGCTGGCCAGAGCGTGTGACGCCATAGCGCTCACAGCGGCAGCTGTGGTCGCTGACACTTGACAGGCTGGAGGGAGAAGAACGCGAGAAAGCGGTGCCCGAAGAAGAGCTGTCGTCTGACAATTCAGAGGGCGAGCGAGACGAGTCAGCAATGCGCCAGCCTGCGAAACGCTCTTCGAGGTCATCTACGGGAGATACCTCATAATCGGCCTCGCGTAATTGACGGGACGCGTAGGGCTTGCTGGGCTTCGGATGTTGGATCTTGCCAGGGCTCAGGGCACGGCCTTGCGGAACCTCCCTACTATGGCGCGAAGTTGACACTTCCGTGTTGACACTAGGCCTGGTTGGTTTGGCGCTGGACTTGTCGCCTCCTGGAACGTCTATGATGTTGAGCTTGCGGCCTGTGGTCTTCTCCGTCACATATTCCTTGGCTGGGTCGTGAGAGACGTGGTAGCCATCAACGATGTAGTAGTACCAATAGCGGGAGCCCAACTTGAGGGCATTCGACCCTTGGAAGCGGAAGGTGCCCTTCCAGGAGCCTGGTTTGGCGGCAGGATCTTTGATCAGAGACAGAGGCAGCTGGGATTTGTAGTTGTCCCATGAGCCGAGCAAGTGCACGGTGCGCACGTTGGGCGAGGTGCGGAGGGTAAAGGAGAGTTGCACGGTTGGAGACGACATCCTGGTCTTCCTTTTTTTTTTTGGTTTGTAGGTAGTTGGATACTGATGGATTAATTGCTTTTCTAGGTATTCGAGTCAGCTGAGTGTAGTGGCAAGAGAATTGAAACACATTGAAAAAAGGGGTTGATACATTTACTCAAGAAAAGACGTGTCGTCGAGACTTTTGGGGTTCGTAACAATGCGTTAAACGACTCGTTAGGCTGCTGAAGAGCTGTAAAGGGCTGTGCAACGGATAATCGTCCGAATTAAAGGCGTTAATGATGCTCTGCTGGTAAAAATGCTGAACCAGATGAATAATCAACAGACCAAGTACACCCCAGTACTCAGATCAACGTCCACGTGTGCGTATTATTGTGATTGCCGTCTAGAAGGCTTTGTCTAGACCGAGCAGAGCTTCCTCGACAGATAAGTCAAGGTGAATAGATGATTTGCTTGATATCTCGGAAGGTTTCAGAAAGGTGCTTGTGGATTGGTGTCAGGTAGATTGACCGGCAATCGTGGTGACGACACAATGGAGAGCGTTGATCGAGGGTGTAGTAATGCTTGATGCTGAGGCAATAACGGCGCCGAGCAGGCTGGGGCCGTAATGAATCCGACTTCTGGTCGGGCTCGTTGAAGAGACTCCTTTGAAGGACAAGGCAATAGGTGCTTGGTCTGGATCGACTGGAGTGATGAGACACGATGAGAAAAGCGACAGTATCGACAACAACGATAACAGGATGATTGACAAAGGATTAAGTTGTTGGAGCGGCACAGCAAGTCAGGCCGGCGGGTATGAGATGAACAGCTATTAGGTATCTTGGTTGGAAAGAATGATCGTTGACCGGCAACGATGATGGTCTCCTCACAAGGTGCTTGATTGACGAAGATTGTCTGTTTTTTGCGTTCTTTTGACAGATCTTCTGCAAAGATCGGATGTTGTGCCTGTGGGCAAAGGGGGAAACACAAGCAGCAAGAATGAGCACAGCTCGTAAATGCCACAAGGGGTTGCCGTAGGACGAAGTGAGTTGATATGGACAATTAACAATTGACTTGGGATCGAAGTCAATAGTGTACCAGACACTATCTCTTTGCAGAAGGAGATGGAATTAGGAGTTTTGATTAATCCAAAAAGAACAGAATTCAAGAATAGCTCTCACACCGCACGACCAGAGTTGACAAGACTTGCTTGCTTGGAGGGGAAAAAAGAAAGGGAAAGGCAGAAACGCAGCAACGGGAAGGGGATGACAATATTTAGATACAACAGCATCATGCTCAATGGGCCACGGCTAGGTGGAGGAAGAGGCCATTCCGAGGTTGCAGGCAATAGTGTGAACATGAAGGATGGATGGCAGCAACAAACCAGCCAGAAGCCAGTAAGAAGAAAGAGATGGAGAGGGGAGTTTGAAAGAACCAGATGAGAGGGGAACAAGCCGGGCGCTTAGAGAAGGACGAGGGCCATCAATTGGATCAAGATATGTGGGCGGTTAAGCAGGTAAAGTAGTGTGGCTGGTTGATGGAGATGCATCACCATCCAATCAATGGCATTTGGGGCTAAGAATAGAATGAGTGGGTGGGCGAGAATTGAAGGAAGTAGAGGAAGGAGTACCCCGTAGAGAAGAAAAAAGATGTGAAGAGCAGACCAGAGGAGAAGAGGCAACAGAGGGAAAGAGCCACCCATGACGTCCCTCGAAGCGCCTTCCCATTCATTCATTATTCATCCCTCCATCCTTCCTTCCTTCCTTCCATCCAGCCATCGATGCATCCACCCCACCAACAATGTGACAGAGCACATGCATATTGTCACATGGAGATAAGAGTAGACGACCAAAGTGCACAAGAGGGGAATCTTCGCCTTTGACACCCAAATGATTACCTGGATAGGTACGAGTGAATTCAATGGGCGCCTAAATGACAAGATGGTTGTTGCTAATGGAGGTGGTGCTGGTAGAGAGACAACTCCAGATCATCCATCCGACAAGGACTTGTAGAGACAATCCAGAAATTCCCCGCCCTAATTGGATCTGTACGAGTATACACATAACCGCCCCGGCCCATGCCGACAGCGAATCCACATCTATCCACCTCTAAACCCCCTCTCCAGCACACCAATCCTCCATCCTGAGCTTGGCTTGTATAACACAAACCAGTTCCAACCATAACCTCCACCTGCAACTGACCGAATTCATCGCGCCCTTGTCGTCGTCAATCCCCGGCCAACAACACTCCAGGTCTAGAACCATTCCTTCGCGAGCCAGCGGTTGAAAAACTCCAGGCTGGCCTCTGGCTGATCAAGAGGGACCATATGACCGCCTGCATGGATACGCATGAAGGTAAAGTTGCCATGCGACTTGACTTCTCCAATCTTGCGCCCGTCCTTGCTGTCGTCCAGCCGAAGATCCTTCATGTCAGCTGCCGCGAACTTCTTGTGGTCAGGATACTCAAGCGCCTCCGCCCACGCCTTGTTGCCCAGCCAGTTGCAAATGAAGTCGGCATCCCCCGCATAGATCAGGACTGGCATCTTCTCGATAAGACCCGGCACAAGTCGATGGAAAGGTTGCATCCAGTCGCCCTGGAACAGGAAGTTGCGGTTGATGTCAAAGTTGCACGAGTCGTAACCGTCAACCTCCACCCCAAGTGCCTTCATCACCGACTTCTCATTGAGCCACTTGCTGATCCAGCCAAGTTCGGGATAGCACAAGTTGCTGCTGTCCTTGCACTTGCCGCGGACATCGTAGACGTTCTGACCCGTTCGTTGATAAGGTGCGAGCAAGGCGTTGTTGCAGTAGATGCTGGCGGGGACACACGACCACACGCTCTCGCTGTCATAACAGTTTTGGATCAGTGATTGGCAGCGAGGAAGGGCGTTGTCCATAGCCTGGCAGGACTGTGGGTCAAGAACGGCCGGCCACCCGCCGTCACCGCACGCCATTGGTCGATAGTATTCGTATTGGGTGTATCCATCTGTCAACCCATTGCCAATCAAGACAGACGTAAGCTTGATATTGGTCTTTTTATGTGACAGGATTTCTGAAGCGAAGACGGGAATGTAGTGCCCAGCGTACGACTCTCCGGCGATGTGGAAGTCCTGCTTGGCATATTCGGGGAATTGCTCAAAAAAGAGGGTCAACAACGCATAGACATCCTTGCCGGCGGCCACGGTGTTGGAGACACTGGAGCTGGAGTAGGAATAGCCAACGTTGACAGGTTGGTCCAGGAAGATGACGCTCGCATTGTCATTCCACGAGTACGGGTTCGGAACCACCTGGAGCTTCTCGTTGATGCGCGAAGGTCCGAGCTCGAGGAACAGACCGGTCAGAGAAGAGCAGCCTGGGCCGCCGTTGAGCCATAAAACGACAGGGTCGTTTTCTGGGTCATTTCTGGATTCGAAGAACCAGTAAAACAAATGCTTGTCGTTCTCATTGTCATCGAGATACCCCGAATATTGTTTGACGTTGGGATCGACGCCCAATGAGCTGGGGTCGACTTTCTTCACTCGCAAGTCATATGTGTCAAGCTTGCCATCGACATAACGCTCTTTTTCTCCATCGGCATTGTCGACCCAGACACTTTGAACATCAGCTCCACGAACAATATGGTCCCATTCGTGATCAGGTCTGCGGGTGTGTTTCTTGGGCAGAGAGAAGAAGCTGGCGCGGCTCATATCCTCCGGATAGAGAGCCGCAACTTCGTCCCAGACATTGGCCGCCTCTTCAGTGAGACCACGAAGGGCATCCTTGAGATGGTGGATTTGGTTATCGAGCATGTTCTTGGCTTCGGCAGGGAATGACTTGGGGAGCTGCAGAGGCTGCTGCTGAGGGGCGATGGCAGCCGAGGCCGCTCCAGCCAGCAGCAGGGGAGAAAGGGCCTTCATGGCAGAGGAGGAGATGGAAAGAATCGATCAGGTTCGTCTACTGAGCCAGCGAAGGCAGCAGCGAAGGTCGATATCGTTGTCAGACTGGGATCCGTCCCAGTAGCGATAAGCAGTCCAGTGAGCTTCAAACAGTCACCGGATCGGATTGCAGTGATTGATATGCAGAAGAGATGGAGGGATGGAGAGCACACGTAGAGGAATATAAGCCGAGAAGAAAGGATGAGTACCGAAGGTTGATGACTGCGACTCGTAACGAAGCAGCCTGTCCTGGTTGCTGGACAACCATCAGCGGACCTGTTTCATCCAATTGAGTGACGACAGCATTCCGTCAAGCTCAGATATTGATCACATGATTGTTATCGCTGTGCCAAGGCAAGACTGCCACCGGGTGCCACCTGGGTGCCACCACAAATGGCCATGCGCTGACTAAGTAGTCTCTTGGCGCGTCGCACTGTCGGTTTTCATTGATTTTTTGGCAGTCTTAGAAGATTGTCTGTCTATCGCAAACCGTCAACGCAATCGACAAGGAGACACTCGCCCATCATGTGTAAGTCTGGACCGACTCTCAATTGTTGCGATCTCACCATGTGTCGAATCTATATGCACCTCGCTCCAAGATCTGGCACATTGCGACAACGTGGAAAGGATATTTGCTAATAATCGAGGCAGCTCTCGTCAGCGGGGAGAAGTCGAACTGTAGGTTGATCCCAACTCCTTCTCTAGACATCGTGTTCTAACAGCTACTGCAGTCCAGTTCATCCTCCGTCTTCTCAACACCAACGTCGATGGCAAGCAGAAAATCATGTATGCCCTGACCCGAATCAAGGGTGTCGGACGACGCTACTCCAACCTTGTCTGCAAGAAGGCCGATGTCGACTTGACCAAGCGGTACGGGCAAATCATGAAAAATTCTCAGGATCAAAAGAGCGGGAACTAATTCATGCATGACAGTGCCGGTGAAATCACCTCCGAAGAACTCGAGCGAATTGTCACGATCATCCAAAACCCCACGCAATACAAGATCCCATCATGGTTCTTGAACAGACAACGCGACATTGTGGATGGCAAGGACTCGCAGGTGCTTGCCAACAGCATGGAAAGCAAGTTGCGTGAGGATTTGGAACGTCTCAAGAAGATCCGAGCACATCGTGGTCTCCGTCACTACTGGGGTCTCCGTGTCAGAGGTCAACACTCCAAGACCACTGGCCGAAGAGGACGTACGGTTGGTGTCAGCAAGAAGAAGGGTTAAACGATTCTGGCTGTCATTGTGGAGGGTGTCTTGTGGTGAATGTGGTGGTGGAGTTGTCGCTCGAAAGAAATCACAGCGGCAGGAAAAATTTCTGCACCGAGCACGAGAAAAGCACAATCGGCATGGCTGGGGTTTTAAACCTGGTGCAACAATGCTACGTTGGGACATGGAAAGTCTACGGATAGTGGACTCGCGAGCAATCAAATGGCATAAAATGAAAATTCCAACCTGTTCCCCTTCCGCCGTCGAATTGTGAGTGGCTTTTCTTGTGGCTGTCCCTCATGCAGTGTGATGATAGCGGTGAGTTATCGCGACGTGGGACAAGCAGGCGAAAGATGAAAAGTGCTACATGACTAGGTGTGCCATGCGCTGAACTTTCGAGTTTCGCCATTCTTATGTCGGACTTCGGAATGACCGACCCCTTGGATAAGAGTCCAAGGCTGGTTCTGTAGATTCTGCAGGATCGTTCCTGGGTTGTGTCTCCCACCCGTACAGCCGGTATGGTCTCATCGCATCGCCACCGGGAAACCCGTCAAGTCCTATACAATCCGCTATTCTAACCTGCCTCACTGCAACTGCACTCCAAGGACAGTGTGAAGCCAGCTACAGCATTCCTTGATTGAACCCAACCATTGTCTTTGACCCGCCGAGGACCAGCACGCCTGTCTTTCCATATCGAAAGCATCCTGTTGAACGATGCAACCTCCCGATCCGATCAGCAACTCTGCTGCAGTCGGGTCCAGAATTCAAGCCTTGGTATTGGTACTCTTCGCCCTCATTCCGTCATGCTATGCTGGTCTTGTGTGACTCGGGACACTATTTCTGGCACCTTCACAAAAATTTCCGAGCCGCTGGCGCTCGTCCAGCACTCGCCAACCCCATGGATGCAGGAGAACAAGACAAGCGGTGGGCTCGGTGTGGCATCACAAGCAGTGCAGATGCAAGGGGACACACCATGAGCCATGGCACTCTTGCACGGCTTGCCCTTGTAGAGTACGCATCGCCCAAGATCCATATTCAAGGACTGGCTGACTGTTTTCTGGAATGTCTCAGTCGCAACTCCGCTCGGTAGCATTCTGGAAGGAGGCTGTTTCGGTACAACAGGCTGCGTGGTATCCGAGAGAAGAGCTTGTCTATCAAACAGTAGCCGAGCAAGTGCATTGCGTGCAAACCATTGGTGTTTGTACCCAGATCCAACTTCTGCTGCGGTCACAGAACAAAGACTCCGTGGAAGAGGCTGGAGAGAAACAGGACGGGTTGACCTCAAAGTGTTGGTGCAAAGAGCGCAGCTATAAAGACCGCAGTTTCTTCTTGCCTCACCCCTTCCTTCCTTCATCACATCTCATCTTCGACCTCAAAACTCATCATCGTGCTCCTTGGTGGGAGATTGAAACGACGTATTTACTCTTGCCCTGCCCCAGCCTACCACACTTGCCCTTTACGACGAATCACGCTTCTTACACCTCGTCGCCTACCGTCATGGCTTCCATCTTCACCTTCCTCGCCTTCATTGCTCTTCTCTCCTCCGCCGCCTCGGCCTTCTCTGGAAACTTTGAACTCACAAACATCGTTGTCTCCTCGCCCTTTGAAGCAGATCCTACTTCGACCCAGAGCACCTATATTCAATGTGAGTTGAGGCCCTCTAATCTGCCTATTGTCCACATCTAACAAGTGACAGTCGACTTCTGCGACGAAGATACGCCTGAAGTTGGTCCCACTCACTGCTGTGTTGAATGGGCCGTGGGTCTGAGCCCTCCCACCTCTGCAAGAGATACCTGCGACAACAGCACCTTCAACGTCCTCGTCACCTCATGGCATGGTGTTGGTAATTTCTCGCTACAGTTAGCCCATCAGTACATCGACAACAGGTATGTGCATCCCACTTTTCCCTCGCCGTCTCGTCCTCGAGATATGGTTCTGATACGAAAGCAGCGTTGGTCAAGCCCCGTACAATGTCCTCACCAAGTTCTCCGACTTCAATTTGACGTACCCCACAACCGACTACTATCAATGTGATATTGGCAACGCAGCGTGTGTAACAACCGACGGAAAGGTCATCATTGCCAATGTCACAGAAGCCATTGCATGAGCACACCAATCACGCCTCCGAGTATCGAGGTATGTCCGGTATGACTGCTACGACAACAGGAAAACGTTTCAGGAGGTTGAAGATTGAGAACTCGAATGTCAATGCACACATACATGGAAGATGAAAAACATAACGAATTGTAATACTTAATTAGAAGGGGTCAATGAAGAGGGAATTCATAGAGTGGCTGTTGGTAGTTAGCTAGCGTACACCAGCGTGTAGGAGGAATGAAGCGCGGTTGATCAAAAAAGGAACAGCTCAATAATGTCAAGATCCATTTGTATCTGCAAAGGACATTGCATCTTCAGTACCTGTCACCTCCCTGGACCGTTCTCTGACCAAATGCCATCAGGATGCCGATCACAGGGTAGCAACTGGATACCCCAGCACCTATCCATCTGAGCCTCTGTGGCCCTCAACACTGCATAGTTGTCCAGGCTTCTCACAGTCCACCACTCGTCTTCATGCTGCGTAGGGAGATGCTGCACGACGTCAAGTTGGCGAGCGATGCTGATCAGGTGGTCACTGCGCATTGGTCATATTGATGGTTCCGGATGTGCGACGCGGTAGGCATAAGGAATATAATAGCAAGTGCGGGTCTTTTTCGAAACGAACAGATCCGGGGGTTCTTTGTGGGGAAGCGTCGGCATTTCAACCTCTACCCACAAAGGGCGGAGTTTGCAGTTCTACCTCTTTGGTGGTACGACATAATAAGACGACAGGGGTACATCGAAGGGTCCTACACATAAGAACCAGAGGTGGCATTCTATGACGCTTTTCCTCAAGCAGGATACTGCCGCAGTCTCTTGCATGTTGCTTCCCTACCAAATATCTACCATTCGGCGCACATCATCGCCATGTCCGTGACGACGACGACAACAACAACAACAACGAGTACAGCGGCGAGCCGGATCCACGAACGCATACCACCTTTTCCTCCCGACGTTTCCCATGCACCGATTGCCGAGATCTCCTCCAAGAGTCTCCTGGAGAAGGACCCTGCGTCCACGGTCGCAGTCTTGCAAGCATGTCAAACGTACGGATTTTTCTATCTCGACCTGGCCGACTCGGAACCTGGGCGAGAGCTCCTCACCGAGGCCGACCAACTCCATGACCTCAGCAAAAGGGCACTTGGGCTGCCATTTGAGGAAAAGGACAAGTACGATTTCCGCAAGACGCAGTCCTTCTTCGGGTACAAGCCCGCAGGCACTGTCAAGTTGACCGACAAGTCCCAGCGGCCAGACAGTACCGAGTTCTTCAACGTCGGCAAGGACTGTCTGTTTGGCGTAGCGGAAAGCCGCCCTTATCCCGACGTCATCAAAGACGCGTGGCCCTTGCTCCAGGCATTCTGCAAGGGCGCCCACGGGATGTCGATGACGATCCTGCGCACGCTCGCGCGAGCGTTCGGCGAGGACGAGGAAATCTTCGTCGACCTCAACCGCTTCGAAGAATCGTCGGGGGACCACATCCGTCTGACGCTCAAGCCGCCCTCGGATCCCACCAAGACCGACATCATCGGCCTTCCGTCCCACACCGACTTCGGTAGCGTCACCATCCTCTTCAACTGGCTCAGCGGCCTGCAGATCGAGTCGCGCACACCCGGCCGGGCCGGCGAATGGGAGTACGTGAAGCCCGTGCCGGGCAAGGCCATCGTCAACCTGGGAGACGCCATGGTGCATTTCTCCAACGGGGGCCTGAAGAGCGCCAAACACCGCGTCGTGCCGTCCCCCGGCGCGCAAGCTGGCATGGAGCGCGTCAGTGTCGTCTACTTTGTCCGCCCGACGCACCACAGTCTGATGAAGCCCGTGGGCGGATTCGACAAGGAACAGGACCGTATCAAGGTGGGAGGCAAATTCTCCGACGGCATCGACGACAAAGTCTACACGGCAAGGGAGTGGCTGGAGAAGCGCTACGTGCAACTAACGGCCATGTCGAAGGATTGATTTCCTCCTCCCTTTTCCCGCCTTCCTCTATCTATCACTCTGAAAACAGCCTTGCATGGTTGTTTTTGAACAGAAAGAAAGAGAGAATGACTAACATATCATTATTCCGACGCAGACACGTGTTGACACGAAGTAGGTAATTATGCTGAAATGTATGTTGGTCATTATGTACCAACAATTGCAATACAATAATTAGTTCGGGGTTGAAAAGCATGGCTTGCACTGAAGAACTGCAAATCCGCGTCCCTCATTGGTAGTTTCCCTCTCTCCCTCATCCGCGCAGAGTAGTATGCCGTCCAAGTGACGAGACTGCTCAACAATGCTCGTAATCTGCAGGCTCTTTGCATCGCTAGTGATTCGAAGGTTTGAGGGTTGCAGGAAATGATCGAATGTGCAGGAGAAGAGCGGGGGAGAGGAGAGAGACGAGTGGTAATGAGAAATATGGTATTGCCCTCCTCGCGATCGCCAATGCTCATTCGGAGTATCGATTCTCTCGACGGAAAATACCAGGGAGCAGCGCGCTGAACAGAACATATCAGTCTCGTTCTCTCCTCCATTATCGCAGAGCAGCTTTTTCCTGACAGCGGCACACTGATGAATAAGACTTCTGCTGCTCCTGTTCACGCTTCCGAAGTCAATTTCTGCCATAACTTGCGTCCGTAACAAATCATCAAAATATCAAAGGCCGACGTAGAATGTGGGAATACTGAGGACGGCAATGACAACAGCAACAGGATGCCGAGGTTTGCCACGTAGACCCAGGGACTTGCACCTCATAGAGAGCCTTAGGCCTGCTTCTCGGCCCTGCCCATCTCCACGTCGGTCTTTGGCCAGAAGTGACTCAGGTCGCCCACAGGCAGTTTGATGGCGAGACGCATTTCTGCCGCCATCATGACAAAAGTCATGTACCAGCCCAGACAGCCGACTATAAAAAGTAATGCTCCGCCGGTCTGTTTCGATTTCCTTGATGTTAGCGTTCTGAAACACTACCAGAATCGAGGGGATTGCGCCAGATGCTTTTTTCGACGGAAAAGAAAGAGAAAGTAAGGGTAATCTTTCTCACCTTCTGCAAGTCCGCTGCTGTATCATAATCTCCGGTACTAACTTTCCAATAGGCACCACTCAAGACCCACGCGCCCATGGTGACGAACAGAAAGATGAGCGCGAAAACGACATTTGTCTTCAGCGTGAAGATGAAAAATGTAAACAGCGCGAATCCCCATACAATCAAGTACAAGGCAATGACAGCGTTGTATTCCTTTGAGGCTGACCCAATCACGGCGTTGGTCCCGCTGGGAGAGTACGGTGTCGCCAGACCGAGTGTGGGGAGCTGGAGCATGCCAAAGGATAGCCAGAAGACCGCGAAGAGGCCACAGACCATCATGGAGAAGAAATTGCCCCTGGTGCCAATGTCAGCATCTAACATACCAAACAATCGGCTGGCCGTAGAGAAAGATCGCTCATTACTGAACAGGGCTTGTCAGGCTGACTTACATGATCCATTCGAAGATGACCGTCAAAACGAGGAGGACCGGGCCGACGAAGAAGAATATCCCGCTATATTTGAAGCGTCAGCGGGTTCAATCTTGTTGGGTAAGGTTGGGGCGATGGTTAGACAATGAATGTACTTACACTACAGGCGACAACCCGCTGGCACCACCCCAGCCCATCATGACCATCGCAAAAGTCATAGTCGAGATCACGAAGCTATCTGCTCATGAGTATGCGTGTCTCCACGATGATGCTTCTGGAGCATACCCAACGAAACCGAGCGGAGTCGGGTTGGCGAAACGCCGGATATTGTCGCCAGCATGAGGAACTTTGGGAGTAAGGTAGAGCTGTCCAAGTCGCGCAGGGTTAGTGAGCCGTTTGGATCTCGATGTAGGGGGAAGAATTTTGTGTGAGCCGTGAAGCTATATGCGCACCTTTTCGAAAAGTTCTGGGCTGATGGAAATCGCTCCTGACGAGACAGTATGTGTCAAGCCAGGCTTCTCTTCGATCATGTCCCTTTCCGTGGAAGTAGGAGTTTGTTGAAGGTCACCCGCCATCTTGGACGTGTTGTAGTCTTCCAGATCAATCACACAACAGAAACAAGGGAGCACCGGAGGACAAGGAGGGCTTGAAATCGGCGCAAGGGCAGCTATTTCGACCTGGGGCAATGTGGCACAGGCCACAGCAGCTTCCGCCCTCTTTATCCGATTCCACCTCGACTGCTGACCCCCTCCCAAGCGGACCGTGGGTGACAGAACGTGGGGCTGGGATACAAATGCAGACCCTGGCTAGAGTCCATCTTTCTGATGTGGAAGATGTGGAAAGGAATGAATGCTGAGTGGCCAGGGTAAAAGTGCCGACCCCCTTTATGCAGTGCGAAGCAGGCATCTTGAATGTATCCGGTATGCATCGGTCACAAAAATAATTCCATTTGTTTTTCCTTTTAGCGGGACATGCTAGACGTCGCGTGGCTCAATGTCGTCCAGGATCCGTACAGCGCCAGGTCCAGAGCGAGGGTCGGCCAAGGTCGATTGGGTTCCCTGTGCGAGGTAAGCCTGCAGGAGAGCCAGTGAAGGAGAGGCATGGCGTTCTGCAACTGCTCGGATTCGATCTTTTGGCCCTGAGGAATGGCTGACTCGACCGGAGCCCGCAGGGAAATTATTGGCACCTTCTGTCAATGGTTGGTTCGTTAGCTGGATTGGCAACAGGATTGATCTAGCTTTAGGAGCTTTGCAGTGGGCGATATGTGGAGCGTGGAGCTGGTAGAAGTGGATGGGGAGGGGGGAGCCACGGGCCAAACCAAAAAAGGAACTGAAAATACGAACAGTTGGCCATTCTCTCCTTGTTGGGGCATAGTCAAGGCCATTTCCCCGCAGAACGCAAAGAAGTGGGAACGTGGAGGCTGGGGTTTGGTTCGCCGGCACGGTCGGACGAATGTCTGAAAATCATAAGTCGCTCTTGGGCTTAGGGATACCGTGGTTCCATTCGCCTGGGGAAAAGCGGTGGGAGTAAGTCGAGGAGGCACCGTGGTCAGACAGTCGCATGATGTGCCTTATTCAGTCGCTGATGCGTTGATGCACGGCCCAGGTCATTTTGCGCGGCAGGTTTGCAGGGGCAAGAGTGAGATGAAAAGGAGAAAGACGGACATTTGATTGAGTGACTGTGATTCGCATCAATGTTTTTCCACACCCCCTTGTCGGTCGCCACGGAGGAGCGAATGGACTTACCGGTCTCATGTCTTCTGGTGTTTCCAAGAACGCTCTATACATCCAAGAAATACCTGTGCTTTTTGCACCATGATCCCGAGCAGAACCAATTGCCCACAGAGCTCATGCGTCTTGTGGCGCTGGCTTCGGACGATGCGAAACTGCTCGTCTGGTCTTTGTGGACACGGGTAGATTGGAGAAGGGTGGACTGGGCGTGGACAAGGGTTTAAGAATGCCTCGTTACAAGTCGCGGCCGCGGCCCTGCAGGTTGTCCCTGACCCTGGCCTAATGTCCACAGGCTGTAAGCGGAAAGGGACCAGGCAGGTGCTTGTTTCTCATTTCGTGACAAGGCTGAGTACTGCAAGAGTAATATAATGGCTGGTTGGATAGGCTTGCTGGAACTGTCTATTACTGGTTGATGGCGTGATCATCCTTTTGAGGCGCTACCGAGGTGAGCAGGTCCATGCTTTCCTGCCTCGGTCATAGTCATCCTCGAGGAGAAATCGCCCATTCAAGCGGTTCGTGACCAAAGCCAGATCTGCGGCTGGACTATGACACTGGCGGAAATACAAGATCCAGCACAGTGGAGGATATCGAGATAGATGAAAAGGTCCGAAGCGTTCAATTGGGGGACAGGCCCCATCCAATTATATTATTTCTCCTTTGCTTCTTTTTTGCTGCAGCTAGAACCCACTGATATTTATAGCCATGGCGCGAAGATCTCCGAGATATGATTACCGGCAGTTTCATCGAGTGTATGACGCACTTGGTTTCCATCAGACAGCATAATAGGATCTTTGCAGAGGCAACGTGCGTGACTGTCGATAGCTTCCTACCGCTGCATCAGGCTCATTGGCCTAAAAGGCTGAAATCGAAAGTTGAGTGTTGGCTGAAAAGCTCGCGAATGACAAAGTCATCGCCAAAACCATCCAAGTCTGTGATATGGTCCATGACTGGGTAGCGTAGTGTCTCTTCCAGGCCATCCCATAAGTCCATTTGACCGCGATCTGCAACATCCGCAGGCTAGGCGCAAGTTAGCCTCACAATTGGCCTTGAAGCATCGCCCAGCGAGGGTGAGAGGGGAAGGGAGAAAAGGAGTTTACCTGAGTTACGACCGAGTCCGGAGTCGCCATGCCATTACGAGGTCGTCCCTGACCCACGGCTTCGGAGGAATCTACATTGTGTTCATAGTGGGCCGCCGGTGCTCCTGTGAAATGAACAGCTCGATTGCCCCGAGCGTCCTGACGTCTTTCACCTCGGTCGGCCTTCTGCGTCGCAAAGTCGCGAGCGATGACTCCGAGTTCCGCGAAGGAAGCACTTGGCATTGGGTTACTGGAATTGAGATTGACGCGGCGAAGAAACCCAGTCACAATCTCGAGGTACATCAGGTTCAGTTTAGTCTCAGAATGCTCGGGGTTGTAGACGACGAGGTCAAAGAGGATGAAATTAGCCACAATAGGTGCCAGGCCAATAACGCTACTCGCGTCAGCATTCATCCAGACAAATCAACAGAAAAGGCACCAGCTCGAACGACTTACTTCATTGGCAGCGAAGCCTCTGGCGGAACGAATTGGAGAGTCTCAATGATGGCTCGTGCAGAATTCATCAAGGTCAATTTGCTCTCAGCCACAGGAGCGCAACGGCGATCGGCGTAAACGTGGACCAGAAGCCTCGATAACGCAATTTGGAGAGTATAGTAGAGGAAATGTACCTGGAGGAGGGCGTAGTTGTGATGTGGCTTGGTAAAGTTCCTTGACCGAATTACGGTCCCCGGTCGAAACTTTTCCGGCACAGTGGCCAGCCAGCGCTGAAGTCGACGTCGGATCTGGTCAATCTCGGTATAATAGAAGTCTTCGTTCCGCGAAGGCATGCCGCATGCGAACAGTTGATTGTAGGAGTAGGACAGGATTTTGCAGAAGCCAACCTGAATTTGCTGCCAGTCTACATCATCTGTGCCATCCAGAATGGGTTCTGGAGGGGGACAACTAATATCAGCATCATTAAAGACCTAAGCAAGCGATAGTCAGCGATGTCAGAGACAAACTGGACAAGCCTTAGCAAGAAAATATACCGAGGACTGCGTAGAGTGGAAGCAGTATTCCTTTTCAAGACAGTAAATGGCCCAGAATGTCCGTTCTCGCTCGGGAGTATTCTGAGAATTATGTGAAAGCTTGTTCAACTGGAGCGCGAGAGCGATACGGGCAGCCTCCGTGATCAAGAGCTCTTCGACGGGCCAACTCGAGTGATTCAACGCGAACAATGCCTTTGATTCTGTTAGAATAAGTGGACAGAATGCCGAGGCAAGGATCATTTCCAATTTCATACCATTGCGGTTATAGCCTGCACAATTTCAGCCACGCTCGATTCCACTGCATCAAATGTACAAACTTACCTGAGCCACCAGAAGAGACTTTTTGGCAAAGAGGATGGTGGGGAATAATCTTAGGGCAAAGCCAAAGATCTTCCAAGCCGGTCCGTCCATAGGTTCGAATGATGCTCCCTCATGCAAAAGACTTCCTAGACTGAGGACGGAGTAATACAGCGCCGCCCACGCGTGGTTGGTTTGGAGAATCACCTCAAGCTGCGCACCAAAAGCCATGGATTCAAATTTCGACCGATCAAGAAAAGGGTAGATCGGATGCAGGTCACTGAAGTAAGCTGGTCGGGGAGGGTTAGAGCCTGTCTGAAAAGGGGTAGCTGATCGAGGTTTCCTCACATTCAATATAGGTTGCCCTGCACTGTGGCGAGTATGAGTTAAGAACACGAGTGTAGTCAGATCGGGTCTGCGTGAAGATATTCAACGGAGCACTCTGGCGAGCCCGAGACTTCGCCTGCATCTCGACGACAATCTCTCTCGTTCGATCATGTCCAAGTCGATCAGCCAAGGCTGTGAGGCTGTTGTCGGAAAAGAAAGCGAGTCCGCAACTTGAGACTAGCCATGCGTCAGACTCAGTTAAAACCTATGTCCCAGGGACCATACTGTAGGCATTGCTCCGCTATTCCAAACGTCATTACCAGAGCCACGACAGCGGAAATGCAGTGTACCAACCTGGAATGACACCCCTTGTCCAGCATCGGTCGGGGCGCTGTCCGTGTCGGCACAAACTTGCTGTGACAGGTCTTGTCGAGAGTCGCCAGCCGACACTTCAGGAGGGCATTGCGCAAGCTGTTCTCCATGATCCGGCAGGCTCACCACATCTGTGCTAAGGGTTGAGCGATACAGACTTGTGTCGTCTAGATCCGGTCGCGTGGTGGCTGATGGACTGGTAATTAGGTTCGAGCGTGTCTTGCGCCTTTTGACGGGAGAGAAGTGACACTCGTCTCCACGCTCCTGTTAGAGGCAATGTGAGGATACGTGTTGGGATGCACCGGAGGAAAGAATGCCTCACCGTGCAATTTGCGCAGATGTCGTCCTCTGCATGTTTCTCTACAACATCCTTAGTGTACATAAGACGCGAGCGAAGCGGAGTTCTCACTAATGCAGCGAACTTTGCGACGTCGGCAGGAGTCACAGGTACTTAGTGGCTTTTCGTAGGCCATAAGAGAGAGCCCACGTAGATACACATCTAAGAAAAATCCGTCACCGTCTCAGTGACAAGTGTAGATTGAGCTACGGGATCAGATAGAAGTGAGGGAGCGGGGTGCTTGACAACGAGCTTCGACCGAACCTTCGGATCACGTGGACCAAACTTACTTGAGAACTTGACCTCGTGGACTCCCTATCTTCACAAGACATACAGGATTGACAAGGTGGAAGACGATCACCGTGAGGTAGCATTGGAAACTCAAGGTCTAGGGTCCATGCGATCCTAGTAGCGACCAAATGTTCGACAACAAGCCTACTACTCCATCTCGGGAGAGTCTGGCGGATACCATCCATGATTGGGTCTTGTACGTCTACAGGAAAGAAGCGTAGGTCCAAGTGCACTACTCAGCCAAACATGGTCTTAGCCGAGGCCGCTGTCACACGACGAGAGCATCGCTGTTACCGAACAGATTTGCTCATCGTTGCTGGGCATCCGGGCGTTCGATGGATTGGTCGTTTCGGAGTTTCCGAGATTCGGAGTCTCGGAGCTGGGACCCCAGCAATCATCACACCAGTGGTGGTCAGAGAGTTTGATACGAGGCAATCTAGAACCTCAAGTTACTATGTATACTGACATTCAAAGTGAGACTGGGTAAGTCCTTGAGATGAGTGCACGATCAAAACTGGACAGCACGCCTCTCCAAAGACTATCAAAGCTGTTCGACTTCTTCGACACCCAAAAAAGACAAAGACAATCCGCAGAAGAAAGCGAAGCCATGGGAAGCATTAGTATCGATAAAGAAGTGAATGGTCCGCCGACCGAGCGAGACTCGTACCAGATCGAGGAATATCCGCTGGGTGAGGCCAGATCACTCAAAGTCATCTGCATTGGAGCAGGCGCGACGGGATTGAATCTCGTCTATCGAGCTCGAAGGCATCTTAAGAACATCGATCTCACGGTGTACGAAAAGAATTCTTCGATAGGAGGCACGTGGTTCGAGAATGTCTATCCTGGTTGTGCGTGCGACATCCCTTCTCACATTTATCAATTCTTGTGGGCACTGAACCCGGACTGGAGTTCTTTCTACGTCACTGGACCGGAGATCTTCAAGTACTTTACTGAAGTAGCCGAGCGGTACCAGCTCCACCAAAACATCAAGACACAACACGTCGTCACGAGGGCAGAGTGGTGCGAAGAGGACGGTATCTGGAATGTGACCGTCATCGACCAGACCACGGGACAAGAAATCCAAGACTCGTGCCACTTCTTGGTCAATGGAGCTGGATTTCTGAACCACTGGCAGTGGCCTGACATTCCGGGGCTTCAGTCGTTCAAGGGAACCCTTCTCCATTCGGCACATTGGGATCAAAGTGTCGCGTTGTCAGGAAAACGGATTGCAGTCATAGGGAACGGCTCTTCAGGCATCCAGCTTGTGACCGCTTTACAACCGCGTGAGTTTTAGCAGCTCTGCTGGACTTACAAAAAGAAATCGCTGACGTTCACTGCTAGTTGCCGAGCATCTGACCAATTTCATACGAAACCCGACGTGGATCTCCACGTCCTATGCTCAGGCCTTTGCTGGTCCTAATGGAGCCAACTTCTCTTGTACGAGTCTTTCAGCTCTTCTGGACAGTAGTCCAAAAAGCTAACGTGGACAGATTCCCAACAGCAAAAAGAAGAGTTCCGCAAAGACCCTGCAAAGTTCTTGCAGTATCGCAAAGCTATTGAAACAGACATGAACAGCAATTTCGCGTTTGTATGTGACGTCAAGCACAATATGACCTGGGTTTCGAAACTGACTGGAAGATGAACAGTCTCTCAAAGACTCCCCCCAACAAGCTCTAGCCGTGGATGGAATCACGAAAATGATGAAGGCTCGACTGGGTTCTCGCAGTGAAGATCTATCGGATGTACTTATCCCTACTGAATTCGGCTTTGGCTGCAGGTGAGGAATACCGTTTGGAGAGGTGCGCGCCCGCTATTGTTTGAATCTCTAACGATAATCCAGGCGACCAACCCCAGGAACGGGATATTTGGAAGCGCTCACGGCTCCCAATGTCACGGTCGAATATGATTCGATTGGGGAGGTAGTTGAGAATGGCATCAGACTAAAGAATGGCACTGTCCTGGAGTTCGACGCAGTCATCTGTGCGACGGGCTTTGAGACGTCGTGGCGCCCACGCTTTCCTATTATCGGGCGCGACGGCATCGATCTGCGCAAGCAATGGAAAGACCGGCCCAAGAGTTATCTGTCGTGCACGGTGGCAAACTTTCCCAACTACTTTGGTAAGTACTGCTCGTGGGAGCCATATGAGCTCTTCTACTGTTATATTCGAGCTATCCATGTTAACGAATTCGTTCAGTTTTCCTCGGCCCTAATTCTCCACTGAGCCACGGCTCGGCATTGCCCAGTATAGAGCACTTGACCAAGTATCTCTTCCAGCTGATCTACAAGGTCCAGACCCAGAATTACAAGGCGGTTGAGCCGCTGGAAGAGGCAGTCGACGACTTTATCGAGCACGCTGACAAGTTCATGGAGCGGACTGTGTGGGCAGGGAAATGTCGTTCGTGGATGAAGGGTGGGAAGAAAGACAGTCCTCCACTCACACACCCCGGCAGTCGATTACACTGGTTCCAAATGCTGCAAGAGCCGCGCTGGGAGGACTACAAGTGGACTCGGCGTTCCCGCAACCGATTTGCATACCTGGGCAACGGGTGGTGTACGATGGATGAGGAAGGCAAGGACAAGGCTTGGTATATGGATGATCCGGACCAAGGTTTCGAGCGTCTCATTTACTAGAGATCGATTGAGTGATGGGTTGAACTGATGTCGCATCGTCGTGTTGAATGGTCTCAAAAGTGTGGTGCACGTACATTCTTGTCCACGACCATTATTAGAGAGAAGCTAGTGAACTGGGGCGAGGCTCTTGGCCAGAGGCATCAACTCGTACGGCGGTAGGCATGATGTTGGGGGTAAAGACTATCGCACAGTAACAATAAAACAGCATCGAAGATCCTGATCAGATAGATTCCATTGCTTGATTGATTGATTTCTTGTCTGTTGTTGAGAACTGATCCTCTTAAAGGATCTCTGAGAAAGGAACTCTCGGATCTAGTGTCCGAGATCCAGCCAATCAGGAGGCAGGAGTGTCATCCTGTACATCATACAGGCAGATTCCACCAATCACGTTCCAGTCTGTAGACTCTCCCATTACACTAAATTGTTATGTGCTATGTGCTATGTGCTATGTGCTATGTGTCGGCATTGCGACTCTATGGATGTGTTGCGAAGCTAGATTGGACGTTGGTAGAAGGTCCAAATGTCTGCTCTTGATTGTTCACCTACTTGCCCGCAAGTCTAGAGACCAAAGGCTTGTTCTTCCTATTCACTCTCTCAAGTCAAATCATTTACGGCCGTTAGCCAACTCATGCCAGCGCAGCTGGTCTTTATGTAGGTGGACAAACTCGGCTATAGCATCCACGTATCTCTGAGCATCTTCCGGAGTGACTTGTAAATGCAAAGGTGTGTAGCCACGAGTGGCAATATAGATATTCTTGGAAAGCATATGGTGATAGTAAAGCGCTTGCCAGAAGGCAGCGTCTGGCCCAGAAAACCGCACGTTCAGCATGCTTCCACGACCTGTGATGAACATCAACGGGAGGTCGGGCGACGCTTGTGTTCTGTCACAGTCCATTTGAAACAGGGAATCGTGATCAAGGCTGTCGATCTCGATCACGTCCGCCGATGATTTCGAGATCATGGGCGGATACACCTTGTCGTCAATTAGAATCTGTTGGACTTTGGCCTTGATGTCTCGACCGAGCTGATTGAGACGATCAACTTCGGCGGCGTTGTAGATATCAAGTCCCACCATGCCAGCTGACATGGTAAGCACATTGTTGTTGTAGGTTCCTGGATGGAACAGATTGTTTTTTGACGGGTCGAATCGTTCCATGATATCCTTCCGACCTCCAAAGGCACCAAAAGTCATGCCGCCACCAACGTACTTGCCCAAGGTGACGATATCACCTTTGATCCCTATGCTTGCACTGTACCCCGACACGCCGAGGCGTGAAGACATGACCTCGTCAAGAACCAAGAGTGCGCCGGTCACGTCACAGAGTTGACGCAGGTATTGCATAAATGTATCCGTTGCAGGCCTGCATCCTCCAGATCCTTGGACTGGTTCGACCAAAACGGCAGCCAGGTTATTGCCACCGACTTTCTCGACAATCGTCTTTGTCTCGCTTATATTGTTATACGGTGCGAACACGAACTCGTGTGGCAGGTTCATGGGCGCCGCCGTAGAACCTTTCATCAGTGTCATCGGAAATACCAAAGTGCTGCCATGGTATCCGCCGCTGAAAACCAGGATCTTTCGTCTCGAGGTGATTGCGACGGCGGCGTTCAGAGCGGTAGTGTTGGCCTCAGTTCCGGAGTTCGTGAAGCGGACCATCTCAATTCCTGCCGGCCCAAATCGTTGACACACTTTGGCGGCAAACTTCTTCTCCAGAAGCGTGTTTCCGCCAAAATTCCACCCGCCCAACAAAGCTTTTCGGACCGCTTCAGCGATACGCGGTTCCGAATGACCAAAGATCCCCGCGCTGAACTCCCCCAGAAGATCCGTATACACGTCGCCGTCAATCGACGTTAGTGTATTCTTGCTTCCTTGGACCCAGGTGATAGGAAATGGCTCGGCGTGTAGCACCGTTCTAGTATTGCCACCGGGAAGATTTTGGTGAGCATCCCGATGGGCTTTCAAAGATTGCGGATTCTTGGCTGTGAACTGTTCATGAGCCTTCTTCAAAGCATCTGCCGCATATGAGGAGTGACCCATGACCATCAGGAAGTTGTTTCACTTTGTTCGAGTCAAGGATTTGAACATGGGGTGAATCAATTCCACAGTAACGTAGGCTCGGATTACGTCCTGTTCTCACGACAAAGGATCCCGAGTGGTGATTATGCAGTCTCGGCAGAGATTTCTCTCTTTTTTAAAATAGCGACACATCTCTTCGGCGATCTGGACGTCTGACGAGGGGACAGGGTACCCGCTCACGGAGTCCCATGTGTTGTCAATCCGACGGCACTTAGAGAGCAAGACCATTGAAGTTTCTCCGGGATCGAGTTGGGCCTCGGTTCCGTGAGTCGCTCCTCTCCTCAAGAATCCATTATCAAGAGGAATCAAATCCCCCCGTTCCGCGGACTGCATCCCTGAAGAGCAAGGCTGGCGTTTTGACGAACCCTAGTGGGTCCGCCGCTGGGACTGTGACCGGAATCTCCGACGAACCTCTCTCCAAACCATCCACAGAGTGTACCCTCTACCCTCTCTGGCCCTTCTCCGTGCTCGGTTCTCCAAAGTTGGATTACGCGGTACGCACTTCTGTGGGAAGCCCACAAGGGTCTTACACGGAGAAAGTGGTTGTAGCCAAGGCTGCCGTATAGCCACGAGAGCACTCAACCACATGTGAAGATGGTAGGATGAAGCTATGATGAGCTAGTGACCGAGGGCAAATCAAGCCGTCGTGGTAATAAGGCGTGAGCTCTCTTCTCCAGACACAAAGTCCCGCCTGAGCCAAAAATGTAGTCTTTGTCCAATTTGTGATACAGATTTACCGGAGTTTCCCACGTCCCCACGGCTTCTACTTTCTGGACTCAGTGTTTTCTTAGCCAAACGGACCCGGCCCGGCAGCCAGCAGATGGACATGAAATCCTATCTTTGGACTACACACCTAAATATCTATCACTCAATCTTGACGCCTGCTATCGTCCACCTCTAACCTTGCGATCACCACACCCTGCGTCCATCAAGCCTAGATAGCGACCGATATCATCGGCGTTGCGGGACCAGAGACCGGGACTACCCTGGGGCCACTGACTTCGGAACCCCAGAATCTTTTGCACCCTTTCCGGCAGGGATCTGGCCAGTTCTAGAGGCACGGTATGAGAAAAAGCTTCTTCCGGGGTGAAGGCACTTGTGACCATGACACAAGCAATGACTCTTCGCAAGTAATCCTTGGTCTGATTGCAGCCGCCTCCGTGAGCGATTTTGCCGCCGATGATCAAGCAGTCGCCTTTTTCCAGCTCGACAGCAACTGCCTGGCTTTCGTCGCCCACGTTATGGTCCGCGGCCGAATAGTCCCACTTGTGGCTGCCGGGAATGGCTCGAGTGGCACCATTTTCCACCGTGGTCTGGTTGGTTGCCATGAGGAAGTTAAGCATCAATTCAGGCGCGTCTTTGCCCAGCATGAACGACGGCCACCAGTTCCCGAAATCGCGGTGCAACTTCTGTAGAGGATTACCGGGCCCGATCTCCATCATGGTGGCGGTGCTCATCCAGTAGTCACCCACTTGCTTCCTGAGGACTTCATCCGAAATTCCGTGCATGAGATCGTCGTTGATCACTTCTTCTCTCCACGTCTTGCTGAGTTGTAATAGATCCGTCAGCCTTTTGGTGTGATGACCCAAAAAGTCCTTTATGTCTTGGTTCAAATCGACCAGTTGACCGGACGGAATCAGAGCCTCGAGATGCGGATCCAGCTCTTCGTTGATACGATCCGCTTGGCCTGTAGACAAGAATTGTTTGATCACAACAGCGCCATCATCTTGGATAATGCGACCGATTTCAGACACCGGTGTTGTCCGCGCTACTCGCTGAATACCGATGTCTGTTAGGGCTTGGGATCGGGATTGGCAACCGACGACACGGAGGACCTGAGTTGTAGACATTCGAGGTCAGTGAAATGATGATACACAATGGTAGAGTTAGAGGGTTACAAAGAGGTCTTCTCGTTGGTTGGAATAACTTGGGCCAACCGAAAAAGTCACTTGGATGTTCCAAGTCCCAAATGCCTCGTGTTGAAATATATATCTTACATCATCAGTGAGGTCCATGACCTGCTGCGCCTCTCCCAAAAAGAGGGCAGATAGTAGGCGCTCCTTGAGCGGAGCAGAGTTGGAAAAGCAAATTGCGAACCACCAAATCCTAATTTTCTGTGGCGAACTCGTACTAAGTGCCTATCAAACTGGGTGGGTGCGGAAAGTCCGAAAGTCATGTTCCTCTCTTCGTTCTCAGTCAAGATTTAGCCAGAGGAAGCAAGCTCTACTTGAAAGGTCGCTCAACCACTCATATTGTCAAATACACTCGTCATGCTGGAATTGGTCTGAGGATCTCAGTCTCGAATCGCTGCGGGATCATCGAACCACAATTATTTAGTGTTGGCATATCCTATTGCTGTCAGTTCTCGAACAACCCCCATCTTGGCCATGTCTTCACTTAAAATCGAAGCCGTTAATCGAGACAGGGACTCAGACCCTCTCACCTTGACTGTGACGCCGGGAAAAGATGTGGTCGGAGTTCCGTTCAACCCCAAAGTCAGACCCTGGCAATTCGCATCTCCGTTGTCCAAAGTAGCAGTGAGAGCAGCCGACTTCAAAAGCGCGCGGGCGACTTTCAGGTGGCCGTCATTGTCGACGACGTGCGAATGCGATCAGGTTGGAATGCTGTTTGTTCGACCTCTGTCTGGTTTGCCAAACCCCGATGCCGAACACCCTAGCGATGCAGAGTCAGCACCTTACTACATCAAATACGGCCTGGAGGTCATTGGAGGGAAACCAATAATCGCTGTGGCGGGATCTAATCATCAACTAGACTGGTCGACATGGCCAACGACACCGAAACATCTCGAGTCGCTCACTATCGAATTTTTGCGATATGGCTCTGGCCTCTTGGCCCGAGTGATTCCCCCAGCCGACGACTCTGGTGCTCGGAAGCAAGAGCCCTCTACAATCCGGCTCTTCACCTGGCCGTTTGCGAATCTCCAAGATTCAGACGCGGATATCTGGATATGCATCTACGCTTCCCGACCGGACACCAACAACACCACCACCGAGGGGTTTTCGGCCACCTTCGAAGACTTCCAGGTTGAGACGGTTCAAGGCAGTCGACTGTAGGACAGCTAAATCCATATAATTTTTCTCTATCTCCAGTCAGGTGCCAGACGCATACCAGAGCCTGGGGTTGAGCGGAGAGCAAAACAAAGGAGGTGCAGAGAGCGTAAAGGTAAAATAACAAGAATCTAAAGTCAATGAATACCCTCTGGGAAATTCAGCTCTATTGTTTCTGTAGTCGATATATCCTACCTGTAGATTTTGCCTCTTAGCTTGGAGCGATAAATCTGTAAACGTGAGGGCCCGTCATACAAATGGAAGCAAAGAACGAATTCCCTTACCAGCCTCGAATCCAAAAACATGCCTGTACCATTCTTATTCTGCAAAGTCACCACAGAATGCAACGGTTCTAATAAATTTTATTTTGTGTACGGCCCTTGTAAGCTTTGATCGGCCACCCTTACACCATATAATGCCTAAACGACCAAAGTTGTTACACAGAATTTCACAACTGGGCTGCTGGGTTGTGAAGCTAAAGCTTTGGGGTTTGTTCCGGTCCCGGAAACCTTTCTGACCCTAGGGTAGGTCGGTGCCGGAGAGCAGCTTCGACCTTGAACCCGCCGGGCTTGAGCTGCTGGAAAACTCGGTCCGGGTCATATTTGTCAATCATCTTGGATAGGTATTTGACACTGCTCTCGCCGTAGCTCCCGACCACATCCTGGAATGTCCCGGCGTAGTTTGCAAACAGGAACGGGTGGTAGAGCCCACGACGGATCGCCTCGTCCTTGATCTTGCCGAGTATGGTACTCTGCATGTCCAGCACGGCTTGATCGTACTGGGACTCTGCAGTGCTGAATGCCAACATGATAGTTACCAGATGCCCGTCGTCCCTCTTCAAGTTGTACATGTTTTCCTCGGGCTTGGGGGAGCGAGGAACGGCGTGAAACTCTAGGCATCCATAGGCCCAGCCCTTTGCTGCTCGAGATGCCTCGACGTACAGATCGTACGTGTACCGCATGAGCTCCACGTCCAGCCCGATGGTCAACGTGGAACAGTTGTGACGAAGGCCGTGACCGCCTTGGAGATCGGCAATGTCTGCCGCCAGCGCCGAGTAGTCCGTCAGCCCAATAGGAGATTCCAGAGTGGGCACTTTGAGCAGGGCATGAAACATGGGGAGATTCGGCGTCGGTTGCGAATACACCAGGTATTGTCGAATGATAACTTCTTCCCCGTTAGTGTCGAAGATGACTATCGTGTGGCCCTTGGGGTCGGCGTCCAACTTGGGGATAAAGTCGGCGTACGCTTCGATCGCTTCCTGGGCGCAATTAGGGTCAACCAGAGTACGACCTCCCCACATACCACGGTAAGGGTAGATGTTGAGAGTGTAGGACGTGATGACGCCGAAATTGGACCCGCCGCCCCTTAGAGCTCGAAAGAGCTCCGGCTCGCTGTTCGGGCTTGCGGTGACTAGCTCTCCCGAGGCGAGTACGACCTCGAAAGCTCGAACGTTGTCGATGCCCCAGCCGTGTTCGGCAGCGTAGAACGAAATACCTCCTGTGAGGCGCAAGAGTCAGCTTTACAGGTCTGGAAAGTCGTCGGGGGGAATCACGTACCACCGACAAGAAATCCACCGACCCCAACATCTGCAGATCTTCCGCCAACGGCGGTGTAGCCCTGCTTCTCAAGCTCGCCATAGATCCGTCTCCACGTATTGCCTGCCCCGACCTGCGCGGTGCTGCTGGTTCGATCGATTGTGATTGTGTTTAGCTTCGACAGATCGATCTGGACGCCATCCGGCACGCACGACGCACCCGAAACATGGGCGTGTCCTCCGCTCCTGACGCCGAACGGGCATTGCGCCTGGACACAGAGCGAAACAGCGCGCGCAACTTCCGCTGCGCTGCGAGGTTGGAAGAAACACCGCGGCGCAATCTCTTTCAGCATCTCGGACCAGTAGCTTCGTTGGTTAGCTATGTATGAAGGCTGGCCTGGCGTGAAGATCTGCTCAGGATATTCTTGAGCGAGTTCGGAGACCTGGCGTTACAGGTTAGTGGTGTAAAAGCCATTAATGCACAATGATCACACACCACATGGTCCGTGGTGCTGGATATGCCTATGCTTCCCATATCGAAAAGTGATTCGCCGGTTGACAGGTAGTGATGCCTCTTGTGTCAAGTGCAAGTGCGATCCTCAGAGCAAGACCAAGTACGCATAAGATAGAGTACAGGAGCAGTACAATAGAGTGCTAGTCAAGGAGTTCTTCTGGTACCAGACCACAGGATCAACAATTTATGGATATGGGCATTGAAGAAATCACGGAGACGGGCATGTGTGACCCCATCGCAGCTAGGTTGGCAGCTTTCCATGAGAGGCGGGTCTTTTCATCGGGGTCTGGTCCGGCCGATTGGTTTTCGCCATAACAGTCGGTCGAGGGCTGGCGATATGCCCGGAAATTCCGAATGACCCTCCGTTGAGATTGAGCTTCTTCCACGCCTCTCGGAGCGGGCTCAGATGCTTGTACAGGGACCGTCTGCAACCTCTACCCGTACGACATGGGGAACTTGCCACCTGACCCCCGGATTGAGGACGGGGTAGCTTCGTAATTGGTACTTCCCCAGAAATTCCCTGGGTCTCACCAATGGCTTGCGAGGACTGTTGCACCTGCTACAGCGAGTAGTGTCTGGGCGAATAACAACATGGCTTTAGGTGGACTTGACCATTCTAACGTCCATGCTCGCAAAGACTCTCGCAAAAACTACTCTTCAATTTGACCGACGACCTCTAATCTTGATAGAGACCTGGATTGATAAACCTGGAAAGACCGAGATAAAATAAGCTCCACCTTGATTGCCGTATCTTCCCCGTACTTGCGGGGATATAAGGCCATATACGTCCCGAGATAAGCCACGCTAGCACTATTTAGGCCACATCTAACCAATAATCGCTCTTTGAGTGGATCCTGCTTGCGAAGAGCAAAGTAAGGTCTCTGGAGGTGCCCAGGCGCTTCTCACGGACTGGACCTCACAGTCGAAGGGAGCACTAGAACCCCCATTCACGTCTCCAGCAAGATATAAACCGATTCAATGTCAGGTGGTGGCAACCCTTCAGAACCTTTCTCTATCCCTGGAGAAGCGAGAAGAAATCCCCTGCACATTTCTGCCATTGTTTTTGTCGCTGTGCCCTTGTCAAGTTGCGAAACATGTCAGACACCACAAAACACTATTCCGCTGAGGACATCACAGGTGATCCCCTCGAGTCCATCAGCACTGACAAGTCTGTCGAACAGCATGCCGTCACCAAGCTTGACGAGGAACGATTCAGTCTGTGGAGCGTGTTGGGCGTCCAGTACACCCTCGGCTGCGCTCCATTGGCCATCGCCGGGTATATGCAATTCACCCTGGGCGTCGGAGGCAGCCCCTACTTTTTCTGGTGTTTTATCGTGGCCGCGGTCGGTCAGGGCATCGTCGTGATGACCTTTGCCGAGTTGTCGTCTGCATATCCCCATGTTGCAGGTGAGTGGATTGTGCGTCAGGGGCTCAGATCTCTCGTTTTCTGACCGAGATTCAAGGTCAAACGTATTGGACAGCCATTCTGGCTCCACCCAAGTACCGCCGTTTCCTCACCTACCTCAACGGAATAATGACCTTGTGGGGGTGGAACTTCGCCGTCGCGGGTGGCTATTTTCTAAGCACGCAGTTCATCCTCGGGACCGCCAGCATCCTCAATAGCAACTATGTTCCCCAGCACTACCAGAGCTTTTTGATGTCCATTGCCATGTTCTTCATCGCTATCGCCATGAACACCTGGCTCATCAAATTTTATCCGGCCGTCACCAAATTCTTTGTCGTCGCCATCAACGTGGCTGTCGTCTACATCATCGTTGCGATCCTCGCCAAAGCGCAGCCAAAGGCTGACGCAAAAACGGTCTTCATTGATGTCATCAACAACACCGGCTGGGGCTCGGACGGTCTCGTCTTCTGTCTTGGGATGTTGCCCACGCTGGTTGCTCTGTGTCTTCCCGACGGCGCGACGCATTTGACCGAAGAGCTGCCCAACCCTCAACGACGCGTGCCACAAATCATGATCGGATCGTTCCTCCTCTCATTCTTGGGGGCCTTCGTCATGATCATCGTCCTCCTGTTCTGCACCGTCAACCCCGCGGGTCTCCTGGAGCCTTTGGGAGGCCAGCCGATTTTCCAAATCTGCTGGGATGCGTGGAACAACACGGGTTTCCTGGTCACCATCGGCATCATCTTTTCCGCCTCCTTCGTCCAGGGCTGCAACTCCTGCCTGACCGGCGAGAGCCGTATTGCCTGGTCCTTTGCCAAGTCTGGCGGTCTCCCTTGGGGCTCATGGCTGACCAAAGTCGACGACAAGACGCTCGTCCCTGTCAACTCGGTCCTGGCGTGCGCGGTAGTGGCCCTCGCATTCGACTTCCTCGAGTTTGCCCCCGCGTATGTTCTGAATGCCATTTACGGATCTGCCGGCATCTGTTTCGGAATCTCATACGGCCTGCCAGTCGTGTTACTGGTGCTTCAGGATCGAGACCGTCTGCCCGCCAATCGATACATCAACCTCGGCCGCGCGGGTCTCATCCTCAACATCCTCATGATCGGCTGGATCTGTTTCGAGGTTGTCTTCCTGAGCTTTCCCCTGAATTACCCCGTCACCACTGACAATATGAACTGGGCTTCGGTAGTTGCCATTGGCTGTTTGGTACTTTCTATCGGTAACTGGTTCATTGTGAAAGACAAGTACTGCGTTCCGGAAGCGTTGGCCTTTGAGATTGTGCCACATGGGTCTTCTCATCACCATCATCACCACCACGAGGACAATGCTTAGAGGATGTGAGACGGACTACGCTATCATTGTTGCATATCTACCTTTCTGGTTAGTGAAAACTGAACCTCTTTTCGACCATATCGGCGAGATTCTGGGCTGGTGGTAGTGTGAATGCCAAGTTCAGATCATGTCGCCGGCTGCGCCGAGACGTAAATACTACATAGGGAAAATGTTCGAAGAGAAGATCTGAATTAATGGGTGATTTATGTTTTCTTCAGCAGCATTGCGAAGGACAGCCTACTTAAGATCCATTTGCAGCTGCAAACCTAGTCACTAACAGTTCTCTGTGCGACATCAGATGTGTGTCACGATGTCCCTCCCTCGCTTTCCGTACGGACTTTGAACAAGATGCGACGGGATGCGTTTGCACTGTATGGGCAAACATCAACTCACCAGGCCGATCGCAGTCCTATTCCCGTGTCTGGAACGGATTTTGTGGCACCTTGCAGTCAGTAGTGTCTTGTATTGCATCATTTATCTGCCGAAGTAGAGCTGTATGCCTTCTTTGGCCTGGACAGCACCTGCTTCGACCGCCGACATTGGTTCGGAGTTACAAGGCTGGGCAGGATGCAATCTCGGCACAACCCCGGATGAAATCGGAAACTCCGTCGTTCCATCGCTGTTGTCCATCTACTCGCTATCACACTCGGGTCAGTCTTGCTGAGAAGACTCGGCCTTGTCCGCAAGGGGACCACACTTGCTGAAGGGATTTCTGGCTTCTTGTGACATCCACCACATCATGTGCTGACAATGTAAAATTGGTGAATTTGCAGCCATTGCCGCACGACATTCTACAGCCATGTCTCTTTCCGCAAAGGGACATGTTCGTGTCCAGGAATTGAACCAACATTCCTCAGACCAAGATGGCTGGATTGCCCTCGACGGCACGGTTTGGGACTTTTCACATTTTGCCGCTCAGCATCCAGGCGGCGCAGAAATCATCCTCCAACACCTAGGCAAGGACGGCAGCGAATTATACAATGAAATCCACAGTCCGGCGCTCGTACAGCGGCATTTTGGGGAGCAGAGAAGAGTAGGGGAGCTCGAGACGGCCGACTCTGCCACGACGACGAAAGAGGGTGTGAACAAGCAGCAGCAGCAGACTATCTCGCTGCCTCCGCTAGAGTCAATTACCAGTCTCCACCAGTTCGAGGCGGCCACGTCGCCAGCATTCACGAGAAAAGCACTGCTGTACCTTACGGGCGCTACCGAGGATGGGATCACAGAGCGAGAGAACCGAAAAGTGTACAGTCGGGTGATGTTCCGTCCGCGTCTCTTGCGAGGGGTTGGGAGCGTGGATACGAGTACGCAACTCCTCGGTCTCACGCTTTCATGCCCTATAATGGTGGCACCTACATCCTCGAACCGGCTCTTTCACCGCGATGGCGAAGTTGCGATTGCTCGTGCATCCAAACGTTTTGGCGTCCCTCCTATTGCACCGACTATGGGATCGTTTTCGCTTGCCGAAATATCTGAAGCTCTCGGCTCTGGTCATCCTTTCTTCTTTCAGTTATACGCCAATCGCGACCGTGGCGAACTGACTCGTACCTTGGACATAGCACGTCGACTTGGAGCTCGAGCTATCATGGTGACGTCCGACTCGCCCGTGCTGAGCAAGAGAGAATCTGCAAAGGGGTCCTCGACCTTGATCTTGAGCACCAGTGACGACGAGTCAGAGGCCCAGAAAGCAGGGCTAGGTTTGGAAGTGGTTCGTCAAGTTGCACCTCCGCCCGTGAACAACGTGATCGACCCCGACCTCAACTGGGCGAGTGTCCAATGGATTGCGCGTCACACGGGGCTCCCAATCTTTGTCAAAGGCATTCAGCGAGCGGAAGACGCCAAAATAGCGGCGGAAATCGGTTGTGCGGGCATCTATCTCTCGAATCATGGAGGCCGGGCCCTGGACACGACACCGTCCGCAATTCTCGTGCTTCTCGAGATTCAAAAGACCTGTCCCGAGGTTTTGACCAAGATGGAGGTCATCGTCGATGGTGGCGTTCGACGAGGAACGGATGTCTTGAAAGCCATCTGCCTCGGTGCTCGCGCTGTTTGTGTAGGGCGCCCTTGTCTGTACGCTCTGGCATATGGTGAAAACGGTGTTCTTCGAGCTCTAGAAAGTAAGTGATCGATCCCTGCTGGCGTTTCTCATCATAAAGTACTGGGAATCTTACGACGAATTTGGTCTTGATTGGCGTCATACTGACTTTTGGCTTCCGCAGTTCTCAAGGAGGAGTTGACGATCGCGATGCAATTGTTGGGCATCACCAGTCTCGACCAAGCGAATCCAGGGTTTCTCAATACTTCTCGGCTGGAGAAGTTGTTGCCGTCCATCATATTGGAGAACTCAGATATAACGAGCCCGCGACAGTACTTCCAACCAACTCCGAAGCTATAGCTGCCTCGGCGACTGGCAACTTCATCTCGCTGCCGTTCGACGATAGGTGTGGATCAAGCCGAATCAACCTCCGGCTCAGGCAGATACAACCCGTTTGCATCTGCACTGAGGGATTCCTGCACTCCTATTCAGATCCAATAGCCTAACCAGGTTATTCTTGTGTCTTTCCGCTGTCTCCTCTTTCGATCATTCCGGACTGCATGTGCGGCCGATGGCACATTGTCACACGAAACCCTATTTGTAGCTCCCTGGCCTCGGCTGGCCGCAAGGACCGGTTGGCAAGGATTGGGAAGTAAAATTAGGGAAACGGCAATTGTGCAGGAATTCCTTTGATGGGGGCTTTCGGAGTTGATTGCTACGCATCGTGAACGTAAGTCAATCCGATGTTCAAGGCGAAATGCTGTAACCTCGTATTGTGAATGTGTCTATACCTCCATCCTGATGTGACACACCTATCATCTTAGCTGAGCATCACGGAACTATACCATCTACGGCCGCGCGCGTAATCCTCTAACCCGCTCGAGTATTTTCGTCTTTATCGAAGGGGAGAGTATATAAGAGGCGCGATCAAGAGTGATACTTCGTGGCACGAGTTAGCCAGACTATAAGTAGGGAACGGAGTCGTACGTGGACGAGACTACCGAGTATTTCGATTGAAGAGTATCAGCCTTCGTTAACTATTAGTTTATACCTCGGTTGATGGCGTAAGTGCTTTTCATAGAACTCACTAGCCAAACCATTTTATCTTTCCGAGTACGTAATGCTCTTTTGATGGTTTCCCGCATATATTGATGGACTCATAAAGATACCGACTCAAGCCTCGCAAAGCCGCACATTCCGTCGGCTCGTCAGGTGGCCTAGCGAAGAAAAAGATATCTCCTCATGCAAAGCCGTCGCCAGGTGATATTTGCGGTGTTTACCATTCGCTTAGGCCTGTTTTCGCTGGACTCGGGATGCTGTCCGGGGAGCCAATCGAGGACGACCGAAGGGCGTTGAAGGTGATTTGAGGATTGTAGCAATCTGTGTGAAAGGGTCGGCTGAACCCTGTGAGCTCGCTGTGGAGAAGAGCTCACAAATACAAGGCCTAATAGTCGACGAGTTTATCAGTTTACACTTTTGGATATTTTGCCACGGGCAGCGCAGCCTGCACCACCAGCACCGTCGGCACTTCTCCACGTTTGACTTTCCACTGCCAAGTTCCATCATCTTGGTTCAATTTCCTCCACCACGAGCTTGGCTGAATGATGTCCGTTTAACGATCCCAATAATGAGCGGAGCCAAACGGGGCGGAGGATGTCGGAAAGGCTGGTTTGGGTAGAAGAAGCCATGGCATGAGGGTGTATGGGGCAGATATTGACCGGCCCGGTATGGTTCTACCTAATGGGGTGGGAAGTTTCGTAACGACTATGCCACCCATATGTGCGACTGTACCACTTGATTAGCTATTATGCCACGCACATTAAATCGATGACCACTTGAACAGCCTCCGACCTTATTGGCCGATCACATTGAGCGCCTCGGTGTTCAAAACATGGCAAAATTGGAGGGGCGGGAGGATGAACAGGCCATGGTGCCAGAGATCAAGCGAGGCACCTGGATCGGAAGGAAGTCGCTAGGAGCTACTGCATCTGAGCAAGGGTCGAGGAGGGATGAACAACCAAGCAATGTCAAGCTCGCTAGGTCCCGTGGGTGTAGCTGTGGTCGAGGATGATCTTTGGGTATCATTAGGCCTGATTGATTGTCCTGTGGAAAAAGAGGGGCGCAGGAGGAAGAGGAGGAGGAGGGCACGAGTGGTGTGTATCTCATGAGCGAGCGCTCCCAATTTTCTGGCAGCACCTGAAATGTGGTGGCACCGCAGACACCTAATTGGGCTCCATTAAGGACTTAGTCAGGTAGCCTAACTACCTAGGTACAAAGCTCGGTCAGTACCTGGGCGTGCTGAGCTTGTTGGCTCGCTGTCCCCGCCTTGTACGCGTTTCTTCAACTCCACCCCACTGTGCACACCACCTTTTCCATCCAATTGTCACCCAAATTGTAGGAACTTGCTCTCATCATCCCATCCGTCTCTCAGTCATCTGCAGAGACGACCCGAACTTCCCTGGAGCTACCAGAGCTTCGTCATGCCCTGACGACAGTTCAGGAATGCGATGAGAGCCTGAGCTTCCTGCTCATCCAATCATCGAACCTGTCACTTCTTGTTTCTTGCACCTCAGCTGCGTTGTCGACCCCAGCTGCCAGAACGAAATCCTGCACGGCTTGACTGTCTCTTTCGCTCGTCAATCCTCGATTATCTTTTCTTCTTCCTCACCGCTTTGCCTACTGTCGAACGGTATATTGCGAGTTATAACCACGACAGTTTTCCTTTCCTCCCAATACTCTCCATTTTTTCCTCATCTCCATATTACATCTTTCCTTCGAGACTTTGTTCCTCTCAGAGAAACTAGAAATCAACATGGTTCACCTAGCCCAAGTGACGAGTGATCCTAATAAAGGCCACCGTAGTGAATTCGGACCCCCAAAACGTCGGGCTTCAGTGGTTCCTGGCCTCGAGCACATCTCTCTCGAACCTCCCGGGGAAGATGAGTTCTCCACTTCTGTTTACGGTTCCCGCTTTGCTGCGGAGGATCTCCCCTCCGACGAGATCCCTGAGAAGGAGATGCCAAAAGAGATCGCATATCGTATGATCAAAGATGAGCTTAGTCTTGACGGCAACCCTATGTTGAAGTGAGTTGTTGAACAGCCACGGAGCTCCAAGGTTGAAGTTGACAAGACTCTGTCACTAGCTTGGCCAGCTTTGTCACAACATTCATGGTACGTTTCCAGATGCCACGTTATGTAAACTTGAGCGCTGACTTACCGTCTGTAATCAGGAAGATGAAGCCGAGAAGCTCATGACCGATGCCTTTTCCAAGAACTTCATTGACTACGAGGAATACCCCCAGTCGGCCGAGATTCAAAACCGGTGTGTCAACATGATTGCACGTCTCTTCAACGCCCCCGAGACTGAAGGCGGGAAGAACGCAATGGGAACCTCCACAATCGGGTCAAGCGAGGCCATCATGCTGGCTGTCCTTGCCATGAAGAAGAGGTGGGCAAACAAGCGTAAAGCCGAAGGGAAGGATTTCTCAAGACCCAACCTGGTCATGAACAGCGCTGTCCAGGTGTGCTGGGAAAAGGCGGCTCGGTACTTTGACGTTGAGGAGAAATACGTGTACTGTACCGAGGACCGCTATGTCATTGACCCAGAAGAGGCTGTCAACCTGATCGACGAGAATACGATCGGCATTTGTACGATTCTCGGGCTGACCTATACTGGCGAGTACGAGGACACCCAGATGATCAACGACCTGCTCGTGGAGAGAGACATTGACTGCCCGATTCACGTGGATGCAGCATCCGGCGGCTTTGTCGCTCCATTCGTCAATCCCAACCTGGTCTGGGACTTCCGCCTGGAGAAGGTTGTCAGCATCAATGTCTCCGGTCACAAATATGGTTTGGTCTACCCTGGTGTCGGTTGGGTTGTCTGGAGATCACCCGAGTACTTGCCCAAAGAACTCGTCTTCAACATCAACTATCTCGGCGCCGACCAGGCTTCTTTTACCTTGAACTTCAGCAAAGGAGCTAGCCACGTCATTGGCCAGTACTATCAAATGATCCGACTTGGCAAGAGAGGTTATCGTAGTATCATGCTCAATCTAACACGCACCTCAGACTATTTGGCTGCTCAGCTCAGAGCCCTAGGGTTCATCATCATGTCCCCTGGTGGAGGCCGATCCCTTCCCGTGGTTGCATTCCGTCTCGACCCGGACAATGAGCAGATGTTTGACGAATTTGCCATTGCCCACCAGCTTCGAGAACGTGGATGGATTATTCCTGCCTACACAATGGCCCCTCACAGCGAGAGCCTCAAACTGATGCGTGTTGTGGTCCGCGAAGACTTCAGCAAGCAGCGCTGCGATGCCCTGGTCACCGATATTAAGATGGCACTGCAAGTGCTTGGAGAGATGGACAAGAAGACCATGGAGCGTTACCAAGAGTACGTTGTACCCTCTAACTTCGTTCTGCCTTTCCAGGTATCCTGACCATTGGCAGACACGTGAAGAAGCATCACACCAAGACTGGAAGAAACGGTCGCAATGTCGCGGCTTACAAAGACGAGAATCACTCTCTGCAGGGCAAACATGGGAAGACGCATGCTATCTGCTAGTTGATTTCTTAGGCCAATCTTCCGTACCCCTGGAGAAGAATGTGCCTGGACAAATCAACTCTCTCTCTCTCTCTCTCTTTGGGGTGGAGAAAACAGCGGCGAGATGATTTCATGATTGGATAAAGACCTAAAAAATGTCATAGTGAAAGTGTGCGGCACCACATCTGGGATCTTGCCAACTAGGAGCCAAATGTCGATGCACGCCTTTAAAAGTCCCTGCGAACCATTTGTTGTAAGCTGCATCTCGTGCTTTGAGTCGCTTTGAAATTGTCAACATCGGCCAGCCAGTTGAGAGTTGGCGTTACCAGTTTTGGTAACAAAACATTAACGTGGCCATTGATTGGTCGATGATCAACGAGGGCGGCACAGTCTTCCATCCACCGTAGAGCATGTGATGACGCTTCCTTCAATATTGCCATTGTATGATCTCGTCGGTGACGAGGAGCCAGACTTGATCGCAGTCAATGACGCAATGTCATCATTCTGTGTCACCGGCTGTCTCCATACTGCCACCATCTAATGCCCATCTTACTAGACCTGACTTCTTTCATCTACCAAATTTTTACACTCCTGATACAGCGATCGCAAATCGTGGAAACTGTTGACTACTTGCTTTTCTCTACCCCTGACAGCTTAGCCTACGAGCAAAGATGACGCCCAACATCACCAAGGGTCAGACCGACACCTCCAAGTTCATGGGACAAGGACCCACGTCCAAGGAGGAACATCCACACAATAACCCCGTCATGCAGTACAATCCTGCCCCGGGTGCTAAGGTGAGTCAATGATAAAA